CATAAGTTGTTAAGAATGTCACGATCTTTGAACGGATATCAACAATAAGGGGTTGGCCCCTAAAATTAAGGGCCTAGAGGGGCCGAAAGTTTTTTCCTTATATCTCAAAACGTATTGAGAATTTGTAATACGTCAAAGAAGCAAAGTTGTTCAAAATGTCAAGATTAATGTATTGGGTCATCAAAAAACGTCCGGCGTCGTCACTTCCGGCCAAACCGGAAGTAGTCGGAAAATGCGTATTTTTGCCGTTCTTGACAAGTTTTTTAGTACATATGACTCTGGGAGCATAAAAATTAATTTTCCGTCCGTCGTCGTCACTTTCGATCAAACCGGAAGTACCAAAAAATTGATTATTTTTGCATTAATTAACATAGCTTTAGAGGATTCAAACCATTTTGGTGCGTTATTTCTCATTTTTGTTAAATATGAAAGCTACTTCCGGTCAAACAGGACGGAAGACCTACTCGTTGCTTTGCAACGAGCTTTGCTCTAGTTATTATTAATTATTGTTTTTTTTCTTACCGATTTTGTGTGCACGATTTCTCGGAAACGGCTGGTTCGATTTTGATAAAACTTTCAGGACTGATAGAACATCAAACAATCCTGATATATAATTTTTTGTTTTGATGACGTCACTTCCGGTTTTGAGATTTCAGCGATTTAGTGATTTTCAGGGGGTCTCATTGTCCATCATTTTTCTCGAAAATGCCTTAAGACAGAAACATGAGATTTTCAGCGATGATAGAGCAATGTGTGCTCTTTTGTCACACACCACTCTTTTTCTCCGGAAGTGCCGCACGGTGGCGCTCGCTACGGCTCGTAAAAAGTTCTATCAGGGACTTAGAAATTTTTGACACCTTTTCTGCAATATCTTTTTACATGTAAACATTTTGTAAAGACATATAGAACCAAACTTGTTGAGAATGTCACAATCTTTCGAAAGATATCAACGATAAGGGGCTGGCCCTTATAATAAAGGGCCAAAAAGGGCCAAAAGTTTTTCTTTGATATCTCAAAAAGTATTGAGAATTTGTAATACGTCAAAGAAGCAAAGTTGTTAAAAATGTTAAGCTCTATCTAATGGGCTCGTCAAAATTCGTCCGGCGACGTCACTTCCGGTCAAACCGGAAGTAGTCAAAAATTGCATATTTTTGCCGTTCTTGACAGGTTTTTGGGTTAAATATGTCATTGGAAGCTTAAATCTTAATTTACCGTCCGTCGACGTCACTTCCGGTCAAACCGGAAGTAGCCAAAAATGGCTTAATATTGCATTTATTAATTTAGATTTGGAGGATTAAACCATTTTTGAACTTTATTACTCTTTTTTTTTTAAATGAAAGTTACACATGCACTTCCGGTCAAGCAGGACGGAAGACCTACTCGTTGCTTTGCAACGAGCTCGGCTCTAGTTATTATTTTTTTTCTTACCGATTTTGTGCACGCGAGTTCTCGGAAACGGCTCAATGGATGTTCATGAAACTTTCAGGTCTGATAGAACATCAAAAAATCTAGAAATGACATTTTTTATTTTGATGACGTCACTTCCGGTTCGGAGATTTTCGCAATTTTGTCATTTTTAGAGGGTCACTTTGTCCGGCAATGTTCTCAAAAACCGTTGAAGATAGAAGTATGAAATTTTCAGTGATGATAGAGCAACCTTTGGAGAAGTGAATTCAGTATATCATTTTTACTGGAAGTACGAAGCGCCGACGCTCGATATGGCGCGAAAATAGTCCTATCAAGAATTTCAAAATTTTTGACACCTTTTCAAAGATAACTTTTTACCTAGAAATATTTTGTTAAGACATGTAGAACAAAAGAAGTGTAGAATTACACGATCTTTCAAATGATATCTCGAAAAAAGGGCTGGCCCCTAAAATGAAAGGCCTAGAGGGGCCGAAAGTATTTCCTTTATATCTCAAAAAGTATTGAGAATTTGTAATACGTCAAAGAAGCAAAGTTGTACAAAATGTCAAGCTTTATCTAATTTGGTCGTCGAAATACGTCCGGCGACGTCACTTCCGGTCAAACCGGAAGTAGTCAAAAATTGCATAATTTTGCTGTTCTTGACAGGTTTTTGGATATCATATGTCACTGGAAGCTTAAATTTTAATTTTCCGTCCGTCGACGGTACTTCCGGTCCAACCGGAAGTTGCCAAAAATGGCTTAATTTTGCAATAATTAACATAAATTTGGAGGATTAAACCATTTTTGGACTTCATTTGTCTTTTTTTCTTAAAAGAAAGTTACTTCCGGTCAAACAGGACGGAAGACCTACTCGTTGCTTTGCAACGAGCTCGGCTCTAGTTATTATTATTTTTCTTCTCGGGAAAATTTTGTCCGCGAATGATCTTGTAAAGTACACATCCGATTAAGGGGAAACCTTTTTAGGGTAAGTAGGCATGTTATGTAGATTTGTGGAATCAAGGTCATTTTGCGCGCACGTGCTTGCAAGAGCGCACGTGCAAAATTTGAAATGACCAATATATAATGGATATAACCGTAACTTTTCTATTTTTAGACGAAATGTTTTGAAACTCATAATGTAAGGATATATGAGTAGTATGCACAAGATGAAATGGTCAAAATAGCAAGATCGCACGTGCAAGCACGTGCGCTTCGCTCTGATTGGCTGAAACTAAAGTCTCAATATCTTTCTTGTTTTTTGATAAAATCATTTGAAATTTTGAACATAGTCATACATTTAATAGGGAGATCTACAGCCCGTAATAAAAGAAATATCGTGAAAGCATGTGCATGCACGTGTGCTTGCAAGAGCTCGCACGTGCAACACAAGAAATGTCCAATATAATTGATACAGACGTAACTATTTAAATTATTGATGATATGCTTTAAAACTCATATTAGAAGTATATATTAGAAGCATAGACAAGATGACATGGTCAAAAAAGCAAGATCTCACGCGCATGCACGTGCGCTTCGCTCTGATTGGCTGAAACTAAAGTCTCAATATCTTTCTTGTTTTTTGACGAAATCCTTTAAAATTTTAAATATAGGCATGCATTAGGATATCCTACAATAAGATATAAAGCAATTATTTTGAAAACGCGTGCATGCACGTGCGCTGCAATCTGATTGGCTTATGCTTTAAATAGCTATATCTCCCTTGGTTTTCAACCAAACAGGATGGGATTTGGAACATGGATAGATATAATGGACTTCTACAAAAAGACATGGTCACCATGCACATGCATACACGTGCATGTACGTGTGCTGCAATCTGATTGGCTGAAACTTTGAACAGCTATAACTCCCTTGGTTTTCAACCAAACGGGGTGGGATTTAGAACATAGATAGATGTAATAGACTTCTACAAGAAAGTATGGTTGCCATGCTCATGTGAGCATGTGCGTGCACGTGAAATGAGTAAAATCAAAAATACACTTGAATTAGCGTATTTTTTAATACGTTTGGATTAAATACTTTGATATTTAGTATATTAAAATCTATAGATTGTAAAGACAAGATTATATGGTCATTACGCACATGCATTCACAAGCGCATGCGTGCAATGCTAAAATTTGAATGAAATTGGTACACTTCTGGGTAAACGTTGTTAAAGTCTCAAATGCATAGAGTTTGTCTTATTTAATGAAGCCAAAAGGGAGTTGGGGAGCGTTTGGGGAAGATCTGTAACGGTCCCCGTTACAATTAGCACTAGTTCTTTTTTCTTCTTATTTCTTCTCCGGACTTTTTTGTCCGCGAGTGTTCTCAGAAACTGTTCACCCAACTGAGCTAAAACCTTTTTAGGGTTAATAGGTGTGTAGTGTAGGTGTGCGGAACGAAGGTCATTTTGCGCGCATACGCATGCACGTGCGTGCGCGTGATGAGTGAATTGACTTATATACTTAATATAGCTATTACTTTTACATTTTTTGATGAAATGATTTGAAACTCATTATATAATGATATATTAATACTGTAGATAATATGACACTGTCAAATTAGCACGAACTCACGCGCATGCACGTGCGCTTCGCTCTGATTGGCTGAAACAAAAATCTCAATATCTTTTCTGTTTTTTGACAAAATGCTATGAAATTTAAAATATATGTATACTTTAGTATGTCCTACAATATGATATATAACAATTGTCATGTAAACATGCACATGCACGTGCGCTGCAATCTGATTGGCTTAAAATTTAAATGGCTATAACTCCCTTGTTTTTCAACCAAACAGTATGGGATTTAGAACATAGACACACATAATGGACTCCTACAAGGAGGTATGGTCGTCATGCACATGCATGCACGTGCGTGCGCGTGTGCTTTGCTGTGATTGGCTGAAACAAAAATCGCAAAACCTTTTTTTTAATTTTTGACGAAATGCTTTGAAATTTTAAACATAGTCATGCACTAGGATGTCCTACAATATGATATATAACAACTGTCGTGAAAACATGCGCATGCACGTGCGCTGCAATCTGATTGGCTTAAACTTTAAATGGCTATAACTTCCTTGTTTTTCAACCAAACAGGATGGGATTTAAAACAAAGACAGACATAATGAACTCCTACAAGATGATATGGTCGTCATGAACATGCATGCACGTGTGCTCCGCTCTGATTGGCTGAAACAAAAATCGCAGTATCTTTTCTGTTTTTTGAAGAAAAGCTACGAAATTTAAAACACAGGCATACTTTTGGATGTCCTACATCAGATGGACTGTCAGATGATCAGTTATTGGACTGTTAGATAATCAGTTATTGGACTGTCAGATGGTCAGTTACTGTACTGTTAGATGATCAGTTATTGGACTGTCAGATGATCAGTTATTGAACTGTCAGATGATCAGTTACATGCATTGGTCTGTCAGATGATCTTTGTTAGATGAATAGTTAGATTAATAGTTATAGGACTGTCAGTTGATCAGTTATTGGATTGTCAGATAATCATTAAAATGACTGTATTGATGATTTGTGCCGTTGGTTTGATGCCTAGTTTTAATATTTTTATCATTTTATGATTAATTGTAGGATATGGTAGACCCTGAAGATGGACCTGACTGGGACAGCGGATTTGATGGATAACAGCATACTAGTGTTTTATGTGGATAACAACATACTTCAGTGTAGTGTTAAATGTGGTTGTGAGAATCATAGCAAATAATGACTATGTTATAGTTACACTCTCTCAACAATAGGTCTATGAACATAACCTTTACTTTTTTTCCAAGAGAAGGGTGAGAGATGGGATTTTGGAGGAAACTGACAAAATATACAGTGTATAAGTGAATAAAATTCATTATTGGTATTTTTTTTCTACATATTGCAACTCTGTTCTATGAAAGCCCATTGGACTCATTTTCGTAGGTGAAAAAAATATAATTTTCGCCTTATAACGCAAAACTTTCGCGATATAACGCGTAACTTTCGCGTTATAATGCAAAACTTTCGCGTTATAACTTATAACGCATGAATTTCGCGAGTAAATGCGAAACTTTGGCGTTGTAATGCATAACTTTTGCGATATAATGGGAAACTTTCGCGTTATAACGCGTAACTTTCCTGAATAAACGCGAAACTTTCAGTAACAGCGCGTAACTTTCACGTTATAACGCGTTACTTTTGCGAATAAATGCGAAACTTTCGCTATAACTCGTTACTTTCGCGAATAAACGTGAAACTTCTGCGTTATAGCGCGTAACTTTAGCGAATAAACGCGAAACTTACGCGTTATAACGCGAAAGTTTCGCGTTTTTTCGCAAAATTATATAGTAATGTTATTCAGGAACCTTGATCTTCACTGACAGATAAGAACATGAACGCTGACGGGAACTCTCATGAATTTATTTATAAAATATCATTTCCTCAGAAGATGTACTGGAGAAATGATGCGAGAATAGGATGGATTAGTCATTAGATATTTTTTTTTATTTCAAAACCCTACCAATTATAAGAAAATGAATTTTACTTTCTTGTAAATGTTTTTCAGTTGTTACATTCAAGAAATTCTTTAGACTGAGTATTTTATTTAAGGAAAATCTCCACTTGACACTTTTCTCAAGCAGACAAAATGTGAAGTAATATGGATTCAATAGCTAGAAAACTTAAAATTATAGCTTGTGATGGTCCAGGATCAAAATAGCCTTTTGCTTTTCATTGTAATGAATAAATAGATCACAAAATCAAAAGAAAATTAAGACTTATGCAAATGTCTTCGTTTTAAACAGCCAAAGTTTCGCGTTTATTCGCGAAAGTTACGCGTTGTATCGCGAAAGGTTCGCGTTATAACGCGAAAAATTTATTTTTTTTAATCTACGAAAATGAGCCCAATGGGTTTTCTTACTGTTAATATAAGTACTTATCTGAGAAACACAAAGTATATAAAAGGAGGAAATAGTTCATCTAAAATAGCAGTGTGTTCTGTTATTACTGAAGTTTTGATTAATCTTTTTCGTAGAGTTTTCATCAAACCATTATTTGTTTTCCTGGTGACGTCCTTAACTCCTGCTAGAATATCCTACCACTCGAATAGCACTCTTATTTTTGCGGGAAAAAAACAAAGAATGGGGTTACATTTGATTTGGATTCTGCGGATGTTTTGAACATATTTTATTGACAATATATCAAAAGGATTGGACACAAGTTCCAAAAACTTGGATAGTCCTCTCCCATACATAAAATCTCAATAGCCATGCAATATTTAATTATTTACAAAGGTTTACAATTTACAATAATATACATGAGCAAAGAAGAACAAAAACAATAGCTAGTATATTGCGAAAAATCTAATTGAGTGCGCAGGAAAAATGAAAATTCTGTTGGTCCAAAACTTGACATTCCAGCCTTCTGTTGATATATTAAGTTCCAGTATTATTGGAAATAAAAATTTTTCGATGCTGTATGTGTTTTGGTTCATAAACATAAATGCGCTGCTTCAGTGTCGTTTGAACACACCATTTCCTTGTTTACACTCCAAATACGCCCCGGCCCGTCTTTTTCATTGTATATGTTTTCGCTAAATTCACAAGGTTTTTTCCTGTGTATTCTATATAAATGAGTGGATTGTTTTTAGATGTACGATACTTGTTCAGCGGGAATAAACCCGGAGTCTCCGTACTGTAATAATGTGACCCGTCCCGAGGGTCGGATTCTGACCCACGTGATGCTGGCGTGATTCAGACCCAAACGAAGCCACGCCTCCGGAGGTAGCTGTACAGCTCTGGAAAAAAATTCAGAGAATTGTAAAATTCAACACGTATTTATAAAGACTTTTTTGTCCAAAAAGTTGTATAGATTAAAAAATATATTGATAGGAAATTTGACCAAAAATGATTTTGCTTACCTGCAGACGAAGTAACGAATAATATTAGCGTGACAGACGAGGATTTCGTAACTGTCTGACATTTGTGTGGGATCAGCTCGGTAAAAATATTTCCTGAACGCAGCCTCCAAGCGAATTCCTTCATCATAAAACTTTTAAAAAAACAAAAAAAAATGTTTACGTCAACTGACAGATATATATTTTTTAGCTCAAGAATAGTTTTTGCCGTTATATACAAATATAAATGAAATGTATAAGCACCCCCCCCCAATCCTGAATCAATGCATTCGAATATAAATTATGTCGGACATATTGAATCACCTTCTTTTCCGGCCTCCACTTCCCTATCGCCGGCTCTGGTGGGATTGGAAGTCCCTCACACAATAACGGGTCCTCCTGCCGCGGTACCCCCGGGAGGTACCGGTGAATTATATCCGCCGTCCTCACCGCCCTGGTCAGTGTAGAGGATGTCAGTGTCGTGACTGGAAAGTTTAGAGCCTTCAGTCTCCTTCCACAGAATTCAGCCTGAGTTTGACCTATTATATATTTTCATTTATTTTTAAATTTCAAAAAGTAAAAAATTAATATATATTTATGTTTGCCATTGACTAAAAACCAGCTGCTCCTTGTATCGATACAATTACTTATAAAGAAAAAAAAACTGTTTTTTTTTCAAACGATTTAAATAAACATTTCCTGTACTCTTTTTGAAACTAACATCTCTGCAGCATAACTCAAAAATGAAAAACTGAGGGCCCAATATTGGACCGGGAAAAGGCACACTAACGAGCTTATTCGAATCGCCTATACATTAAACATTACCGATGGATTGCGCTTTAAGTGTTGACCCCCCCCCCCCCTTTTTTTTTAACGTAGATAGATCACTGTAGATAGCTAATGGAATTGGTACATGCAGCAAGCATGAGAACCTTTGTCATCTTTAGAATTAGTTGGATTATTTAAGCAAAGGCTCACTACAATTATCTTATCAATATTACATGTATTATATACCAAGCTTTGTTAACACTCTCTTGGTATCGTCTTTTTCTATTGTCGTCTGCCCGTGTCGGATTAGGAGGAGGTGGCGGGTAGCTGTAGGTTTCCTGTATCCCGAGGTGTCCAAGTCAGCAACGAAGTCCGAAGTCAGCGAAAGAGAAGAGAAGTTTTCTACCCCTCTCCTACAAAATATTGAATACGGGCATATAGAAGTCCTTTTAAACTTCATAATAGAACTTTGAATTTTTAATCCAAAGTCAGCAATTTGAAAACAATTCTTAAAGAATTTTAATGTATGTAGTTGTCAATTATTACTTTATTTTGTATCACAGTCAGACAAACAAAACAGTCAAACCGACCTTTTTTTTTAGTTCTAACTAGAGGATGTTAGCTTTAGTGTAACTAAATCTTGTCAATAATTTCTTTAAATTGTTGTATACATTTATATACATGTACATGTACCTGTCCCAATTATGATCCCATTTCACACTTGGTTCAAAGTTCGTCGTCCAGGCTGCATACACAACATTTTCTTTCTGTGTCAACCACAAGGCCACTCCCACTCCTAGTGTACCCCCAAAGATTCTCAGGTGATGTGACAGGTGCATGTTGTCATTCCTTAGACGGTCAAATTTACAGCTATAACTTGAAGGTCATTTAAAAGGTTAAAAAGTAGAACAATTCGACACCGGAGGGAATGTGGTTTTGGTCGCCAGTGTTTGGCAATGACGATTTATTATAGAACGCTTGAAAAGTGGGAGGGTATATATAGTGATTGAGATGTCCCTCCGTCCGTCTAGCTGTATGTCCTTCCGTCTGTCTGCACGTCCGTCTGTTACGTTTTGGCTACATATATATGTTTATTCACCAATCAAGGGCCCACGGGGGGCATGAACAGATTATTACAATATGACAATATTGATTACAATTCTATATTATACGAGGGTTGATCCAAAAGTTCGTGGAATTTCTTTCTAAAATTTTATCGTGATTTGATGAAAGCAAACAACAGGCATATTCATAATAAAGAGTCATAATGCATTAATATTGGAAAATTTCACTATTTTCCAATTACCAATGAGGTCACACAAGCTTTTTGAAAATGAATAGTTGTGAAACCCGGAGACTTGTAATGTCAAGTTAGATATGTCACGTCACCTTATAGATGCAACTCGCCCTAATGTCCAATTTGAATTCGTAATTCTACAAAATGTTGTCTTTTTCTCTATTTTTTTTTTCCTCAAAAAAGCCTGGGTATCTCTTGCACCAACTACTATCATTTTTCACTCATATTTCAAATTACTACCCATCTTTCTATATGATGTTCCAATGATGTTCCAATTTCAGCAGCAATGTCAAAAACTGTACGGCAGCCGACAACGTCCATTAACGCTTTTAACTTGTGTAGGGGGATAAATACTTAAAACAGAGCCTCCAAAAAGCGACCACACCTTTAATCGACGTCCATGGCAGTTCTATTTTCTTAAATTTCTTATGCCATCGAAAAACCAGTAATTTAATGTATGTTTCCCAAGCCTTTGTCAATAATATACGCGTTTAAGATAGAGTGATCACAAAACGTATTTGACCTTTGACATTTCAACAACTAATAAAGATGAACAATAAATAATCAATTAATAAACTAAATATCCTGTAAAATCAGTGAAACTTTCACACAAAGGTTTATAAAAGATCAAGCAATCATAATAATGACACAATTTTCGTTTTATATACAACATAAGGCGGTTTAATCCTCATTTCACGTATTAAGAATTAAAATGAAAATAATCACATGGTTTCCAAATAACCGTTTCTATGGCAACTGCCATAGAGTTCCTATCAAAGATATTTTAACTGTTTTTCAATTTAAAATTTTCATCAAGTGTCTATATTTTCATTTGTAATTTTCTTCCACTGGTATATAAAATATGAAAAAATTCCACGAACTTTTGGATCAACCCTCGTAGATGTATAATGTAACATGACTAGTGATTAGGTTTGACATTGAGAAGTGCATCATCACACTTGATCAAAAGCATAGAAAACCATAGGATGATAAAAAGAAAACACAATTAAATAGAAATGATAGATATAAGGTAATTAAAAAAAATTTTTTGTAGTAATGGCAGTACTCTGATATATAACTAGTGCATCTTGAATACAAAGGGCACCAGGGGATGATACCTCTACGCAGCCAGACTGGCAAACCTGTACCCTAAGTATTGAAGATGGTCATTCAAAAAAAATTGTTTAAGTATTATCAGAAATAGTAATTTCAATTAATAAGTACTTAGCATATAATTAAGGACATACGCAAGGTACCTTACCTACTGATAATTTTTCAAGATATTTTAAATTTAAACTTATAATAACATTACATGTTCTTAGACGAAAAATCTGCATGCGTTACCAGAGGTTTTGAAAAGATATCAAATAATGAATATTTTAGCATTATTCAAAGAAAAATTTATAAAAATTACAATACATAAATTCCAGATATTTTTCCATCAAAATTTGTTTGAGAAGAGGTGTACAAATCCATATATAGACATAAAAAGTATTGCACACAGGTCCTTCAATTAGTGGAACTCTTCAACTCCATGGAAGAACCCAATAAAGTTCAAACTACTAGTATGTTGCGTATGACCTTAAGAACTACATGGGGTACCCACTGCCATTATATTCATATGGCCACGGAAGGCGGCCATATGAATATAATGGTCTCTCATATGAATATATAATGGCAGTGTCATGTTTTGCTATGGGAAACCCAAAATATGTGTCGCTTCAAAGAGTAAAATATGAGGTCACAATGGCATTATGTAATAAAGATTCTCTGACAGTCTCATCTAATTTCACTCAGTGGTATAAGAGGAGTTACGGATAAGAGATGGGTACCCCAAAGCGCAACAGACGGACGGACATCTCGATTACTAGACATGTATACCCTCCGGCCTCCCGCTTTTTTCAAGCGGGAGGTATAAAAATATGCAAGTATCACACGGTAAAATTTTGAGATGGGGGCGTAAATAAATAGAGAAATAAATCGAGAAAACCAATGGGACGTAAATAAAAAGAGAAACTAGAGGTACTGTGAGCAATGAGCTCACTAAAGAGATATGGATATAATGGCAGTGTCCATGTTTTGCTCTGGAAAATCCAAAATATATGTCATTTAGTGAGCTCATTGCTCACAGTACCTCTAGTTTTTTCTTAAAAAGAAAAATAAGTCACGTCAGGTGCCTGTGCTCTGGCCGTCCATCCAAATTTTTTTCAGGATATAATAAAAACTAGAGGTATTGTGAGCAATGAGCTCACTAAATGATACCCCCCGTCCCATATGTATATTGCTCTGTTTTGAAAATCCAAAATATATGTCAGATCAAAAAGTAAAATAGGAGGTGCACAATGGCAATATGTAATAAAGATTCTGTGAAAGTTTCATTAAATTTCCTTCAGTGGTATGAGAGGAGTTGCGGATAAGAGATGGGTACCCAAAATCGTAACAGACGGACGGACGGACAGACGGAAGGACGGACGGACGGACAGACGGACGGACGGACAGACGTACAGACGGACGGAAATACCGATTACTATATACCCTCCCGCTTTTTAAGCGGGGGGTATAACTATGAATTTTGGGATGTATTTGACTGACACGTATCCTTGCACTTTCATCAAGTAAACTTTACGCTTGATACTTTTAAATGTAGAAATATTGTTTTGTATTATTGAAAAAATTGAAAATTAAACTTTAAACAAGTCTCTTCACCTGAGAAAACAGTTCTTTACTTTTTGTTATACATAATGCAATAAATATAATTTTTTTGAAATCTACACTACCCCATAATACTGTTTCAGTTTTTTTTGGCTCTGGACGTGATTTTCTTTTTTCCTATATATTTCTATGTAAAAAATTATACCCACTTCCCCCGTACCTTATAATTAGGTAATTTACACTACCCCAGAATGCTTCCAAAAGCTTCAGTGGTATATAAGAAGATTTTCAAAGATTTTTCCTATATATTTCTATATAAAACTTTGATTCCCCATTGTGGCCCCGTTCCCCTGGGGGTCATTATTTGAAAAATTTAGAATCTACACTATACCAGGATGCTTCCAACTCCTCTCATACCACTGGTTTTTGAAATTTTTCAAACTTTCCTATATATTTTATATAAAATTTTGCCATTGTGGCCCCTCCTATTTTAACAATTTTTGACTACCCCAGGATGCTTTCATATATTTTTCAGCTTTACTGGCCCAGTGGTTCTTGAAAACATTTTCAAAGATTTTTTCATATATTTCTATGTAAAACTTTGATTCCCCATTGTGGCCCCGCCCTTCCCCCGGGGGTCATGTTTTGAACAATTTAGAATCTACACTATACCAGGATGCTTCCACATAAGTTTCAGCTTTTTTTTTCTTGAGAAGAAGATTTTCAAAATTTTTCCTATATATTTCTATATAAAACTTTGCTTCCCCATTGTGGCCCCGCCCATCCAATGATTTTTTTCAGACCAGAGAGCTTCCATAGATCTGCAGTGGTTCTAATAAAAACTTTTTATGAATTTTTTGTCTGTATTTGACTCCCCTTGACACGTATCCTTGCACTTTCATCAAGTAAACTTTACGCTTGATACTTTTAAATGTAGAAATATTGTTTTGTATTATTGAAAAAATTGAAAATTATACTTTAAAAAAGCAAAGTAGAAAATTAAACTAAGATATTTTGAACTACAGGTACGGTGAGAAATGAGCTCACTAAAGACATTCCCTGCCTCCCATATAGTTATAATGGCAAAGTCCATGTTTTGCAGTGGGAGACCCGAAATAAGTGTCAGATCAAAAAGTAAATTAGGAGGTGCCCAATGATATTTTGTATGTTACGCTTTGGGGTACCCATCTCTCATCGGCAACTTTTCCTATACCACTTAATGAAATTTAATGTGACTTTCAAAGACTCTTTGTTATATAGTGCCATTGTGCACCTTGTATTTTACTTTTTGATCGGACTTGTATTTTGAGATTCCCAAAGCAAAGCATGGACACACCATTCTGTTATAATATTGAAGGGTACCCATCTCTTATCTACAACTCCTTCCATATCAATGAATAAAATTTGAGTGTACTTCCACAGATTCTTTATTACATCATGCCATTGTGACCTATTTTACTTTTTGATCTGACACCTATTTCAGATCTCCCAGAACAAAACGTTGGACTTTGCCATTATAACCATATGGGGAGGGGGTATCATTCATTGAGCTCAATGCTTACTGTACTTCTAGTTTCCTATGTATTCTATGGAGATAAACAAGTTCACTTAAAATTGAGCAAACTGATTCACAAACACATTTGCTTATGCTTAGTCTTACACAGGAGTAAGATTGGGTCTGAGAAATTGTTTTCAAGCTTATAAACCACTACATAAATACAGTGTATTATTTTACATGAATGTTTTTATTATTTAAAAAAATGTCAGTTCTGGAACCCCTGACACTGTGAGGGATTAAACCTATTGTTAAAACAAATTTTGCTCAGTGTTGCAATTAACTTCCTTTTGAGAAAAAGAAAAGAAAAATACATAAAAATTGCATTCTTTTAATCA